GAGGACATTCCAGAAGTGGATAATGAATTTCGGTAGGGGCAACATCATGTGTGACAAGTCATCTTTCGCGGCTATCATTCCACAAAATGAAGGCTCTTGTTCATTGCTGGCGAAAATGCATAGCTAATGGAGGCAACTGTGTGAAAAAAAAAAGAGTTTTGTAGGCGAAAACAAACTCTACCCAATGGTGTTATCGTCCGCACTGTAGCAATTGTAGTTTCCATGGAAATAAATATAAGGCATTATTTCGCAGCTTCCTCATCCCGCACATCTGTACACACACACACACGCGCACACACACACACACACGCACACACACACAGAGAGACACATATAATTTCACACACACATACAGATATATCTAACCACTAAGAAATAATCAAACACAACATACCATTAATCCGCGTCTCTGCTCTTTATCATTTCTATCTTGTTCTCTGACGAAGGTTTAATAAAGTGAAACATGTTAAAGATATGTTTCCTATTTTTTCTTTAGCCCATCATACACACGGGCGCGCGCGCACACACACACACACACACACATATATATATATATATATATATATATATATATATAGAGAGAGAGAGAGAGAGAGAGATAGTCACCCACATTCTTTCTAAAACCTGTTTCGCTGTATCACAGCTCATCAATGTGTTTATACATCCGATTGCTTCTAGCCGGGATCGAAACCATCAGTCAGAGATCCTGCCCCTAAGCTATCGACACACGGCAGAGAAAGGGCAATTTTAACGTATTATATACGAGATGTATACAAACGCCATCAGCCAGAGTGTTCATTAATGAAAATGATAGCTTCACTTGATAAGACACCAGAAGTGTCGAAACAAAATTACAACTTTTGTAGTGATCTTATAACATGCATATGCTATAAATTTGAATAAATATTATTAGCTCTACTCAGTATTGAGCACCTTTGTAAGAATAGTGTTTTTTGGTAAATGGAATTTTATTCCATCTGTACCAATTCTGTATTTGGGTACATGATAGCTTCTATTTTTTTTTCATGAACATTTAACGTCCCGACATATTCAGAGTTTTCCCTCGGTGTATAATTATAACCAACGTTTACAGTTACATTCCTGTCTCGCTCTACATGTAATTCGATTAATAATAACATTAATTTAGACTGATAGAATTTTGTACATTTTGTCATTCAATTACCCAACCTTATTCTGATGTATAGAAATGCATATGTCGTATTCTCCCCTATATATATGATGGACTCTTCCGTCATTTTCAACAAGTGTCTTTCAGTTCAGTTTTTATGTTTATACTTCGTATGAGACAACAATCCTGCACGGGATTTGCAAACAAGTCCACGCGAGGGACATACTAAAGGGTTGACTGTCATATGGTCTGATGTATTGGCCTGAGATTTAGTGTTGGTTCTTAATTCTCTCAGATGATAGAGATGATACTTTTCAAAGTTAGTTATACCTCGGTAGAAGATGTTTCTCCAGTTTGCTCGGTTTTCAACAGCAAGTTCGAATTCCTCTATAGAATTCCTCTATCCGAATTTGCAGCATTTAAATTGTATTTAAGTTTGTCATTGAAGCGTAACCAAGGACAGCCTACATTACGCTTACCATGAAAAAGTTGGTTATACATGAGGATTCTGATGACATGATCAGCCCATCTGAACTGTGATTGCATCAGAAAGGTACTACCGACGCCACATTGGATGAAAAAAATCAGGGTTAGAGATTTTGTCCTGCCGTGTATAACCGCATATTGAACGAAGACGACGTTTATGTAAAGCATCAAGTCAATATGTAAGTTATATATATATATATATATATATATATATATATATATATAAAAGTGAACATACGGGTTAGTGGTGCATTGTGGGTATTCTATTATGGCGGTTATTTTATTGAAGTCGTTTGTTTATTTATTTGGGTCAAATAAATAAACAAACGACTTCGGTATATATATAAATAGCCGAGAAAAATAACAGCATATGTGGCCTGACGATTGCATATAGCATGAAACAGACTGTCGCCTCTAAGTGTTGACTTCTATGTTCACTTTTATATTTACACACGCTCTATCTCTGATATTGAGCACTTTATTCCATAAATATAGCACACCTTAAGACTATATTTTTATATATATATATATATATATATATATATATATATATGTGTGTGTGTGTGTGTGTGTGTGTGTGTGTTTAGGCAGCATTCTTTCATTGATACATGTTTCATTAAATAATATAGACAAGTGTTGTCTATTTCTTTTATGCAAAGTTTTTTCATATCGTCTGATAAGTTTAATAACATTATCATTAAACGTAGAAAGAAAATCACAATATTGATACATATTTTTCAATCCTATCTGAGTTTTCGGCTTACATAAGACATTATCAAAGATGATATCAGACAATATGAAAAGAATTTCCATAAAATAAATAGAAAACACTTGTCTATATTATTTAATGAAACATGTATCAATGAAAAATGCTGCCTAAATACGCACATATTAAATTACATGATCCATCAGCACTTGGAATTATAAATGTAGCCTTGTGAAAAGCCAAATTGAAATAACCAAGGAAAAATTGAACACCCTTGTCATCTTTGATAATGGCTTATGTAAGCCGAAAGCCCAGATAGGATTAAAAATATGGATCAATATTGTAATTTTCTTTCTACGTTTAATGATAATATTATTAAGTTTATCAGACGATATGAAAAGAATTTACATAAAATAAATAGACAACACTTGTCTATATTATTTAATGAAACATGTATCAATATACATATATATATATAAAACTTCAAATGTTATTAGTAGATACTCATATTTGAAATAGACGCCCCGTTTTATTTTAAACAGTGTGTATTACGTCTATAGGTCTGAAAAAAAATGTTTCTCCAGCACGAATCGAACCTGCGTCTCCTTTGGTAGGAGAACCATCGTTTCATCTGGTGTGCTTTATCGTTCGGTCACGAAGAGCGACATTTTTCCTTTTAAGGAAAGTACATTTCCTCGCCAAGATATTTTCTCAAAAAACCATATCTGCTAAGTTTTGTATCCGAAACGTAAACAAAGCAATTTCTAAAGAATTAATGGATTTATTATCTATTCTGACATGTTTATTACTTCAAATATTATTATAGTGGATACGCTTATTTAAAATAGACGTCCCATTTTTATTTTTACTGTATATTTCGTCTATCGGCCTGCGTATTCGAGAAATTTGTTAGAGAAACCACCGTTTGTTCCAGTGGACTTTACCATTTGTTTACGATAAGGGATTACAGCAAAGCTTTTCGACTGACCAAGAAACTCTTCCTCTCAAAATGGTTAATAAATTATGTCCATTTTCAAAATCTAGTAACTTTTTTAAAATCTATTAACGCATCGAAGTACAGATATTTAAACCTGTTTTCTTCAAAACGGAAGATTGTTTTCTATAGCCACTAAAAATAGTTTTGTTAAAAGCTAACCTAGATCTAATTTTTTTTAAAAATCATTGTGCCAATGCGAGCGAGAGTCCAAATATGTATCGATGGAAATGGCGGAAGGTTATTCTCTATAAAAACAGAAACAAAAAAGATTATTCTCATACACGCATGTACATACATATATACGTATACATACATAGTGGCCTGACGATCGTGGGAGCGTGAAACTTAAGTAGCGACCCAAGCTCGAACTACCTAGCTCTTAGAATCTTTTCCATCCCATCATTCCTGCCTGAAGAAGAGAAATACATTGAAAACACTTTCAATCTCCTCCAATACCAGAATTACTTCCGGTACAATTACTTCTTATAAACGCAAAGCCTACAAAATCCACACAAGAAAAATACAAAAATATACGAATAATAACAACAAACATAACAATAGTAGACACATAATCCTACCGACCATAAATATAAGAATCCATAAATATAAGAATCCATAAATATAAGAATCCATAAATACTTCCTCTCAAAATTGTTAATAAATTACGTCCATTTTTAACATCTAGTAACTTTTTTTATCGAAGTACAGATATTTAAACCTAATTATTAATTAATTAATACCTAATTTTAATTAAATTTATTAATTTATTTATTATTATTTTTAATTAAATTTACTTTTAAATTAAATTAAATTTAATTTTTTTTAAAGTTAGATCTAGGTATTAATTAAATCTAATTATTAATCATATAGTCCATAACAGCCACTATCAAAAATAACTTATCCAACCTTAACTTAAAATTCGTCAAAATCGCTTTTAAAAAAAGTAAGAAGCAGAGTTAGCAACAAACAAGATAGCAACAACAATATGCGTCGATGGGTTCGCCTATTGTCCAGTTCACAATCCTTACCGGTCTTTTGAACAGGAGTCGAGGTTTATCCCTTGTTTCCTATTTAAGGTTTCCGATTCTTTCTAAAGTCTTCTCATTCTCTTTCACTCACGGTAGCCTCCTTGCATCTTAGCGGCATTTGTCGCCTTGCTTGGGGTGAATTGATTAAAAAACATAGGGGTTAAATAAGCAAAAGTAAACAAATGTTTTCTGTCTGAATTTCTGTGATGAGAATTTATCATTATTTACACTATTTACATGTGGACTATTTCCTCATCTTTGTTGTTAGTTGTAATGACAAAAGTATGCAGGTGTAGACTTTAAGAAAGTTTTATTCAACTGAGAATACAAGGTCCACGTATAGTGTCCTTTTATAGTCCCAGTAAACAGAAATAGTTCTCTCAAAGAGCAGAGTAACAAAACAAGGGGAGACCACTCTTGATTATTCATAACATTAGTATCACCTGATCGCTTCCTGTCAGTGTTTCTGCAATTAGGAGTTATCATTATTTACTCTATTTACAAGTGGACTATTGTAAGTAAATGCTGCTGAATTTTTATTCATATATTATTTATTTATTTATATATAAAATTATTTATTTTTAATGTAACTATTATTTATTATTTAAATTTTTTGTTAAATTATTTGTGTATTAAATTATTTATTTTAAATATTTAATGATTTTGAGATAGATAGATAGATAGATAGATAGATAGATAGATAGATAGATCGTTGTAGTTTTTATATAAGAACTAAACCAAGCTACTTAACAATTTATGATTGCTATTAGTATTAGTTATCGTATTAATTTATTGATAATAGAAATACGAATTTAAAGATTCATGGAAAAAATAAAATTAAAGATTAAAGCATTTCAATGTCTTAATTTCCCTGTGTTTGACTCCAAACTTCGTGAAAGACGAGGCTTGAAAAAATGTCGGAACATCCCCTCTTATCGTCTGATCATGGGACACTTGGGCGCAGCCTAGCGTAATAAGTTTAGACTTAAAAAGGAAAAGTTGGGAAAACGTTTTAGGTAGGGAGATCAGAGAGAGAAGTCCAGTTGTGGATTCCCACGTCACGCCGTCACCAGCTTTGACGTTAATGAGATGGGAGTTTAGACGATGAGGTAAAACGGAAAAGAAAAAAGAAATGGTTTTGAAATACGAATTCGAAGATGTCATGGTGATTTGACCGACCTATTAGTGAACACCGAAGAGAAACAGTTGAGATTGGATATGGCGTGTTCTAAAATAATGAAACGCTACGCGAGCAAAGAAAGAAGTTAAGAAAGAAAGAAAGAAAGAAAGAAAGAAAGAAAGAAAGAAAGAAAGAAAGAAAGAAGTTAACAAAGAAAAGGAAAGAAAGAAGGAAGTTAACAAACAAAGAAAGAAACAAACAAAATAAACAAAGAAAAGGAAGGAAAGAAAGAAGTTAACAAAAAAAGAAACAAAAAAAAGAAACAAAAGAGGTTAATAAAGAAAGAAAGAAAGAAAGAAAAGGAAGCAAAACAAAGAAAGAAACAAAAGCAAAAACAACGAAAGAAAGATAGAAAGGCAAAAAGAAGGAAAGAAGGAAAGAAGGAAAGAAAAAAAAAAAAAAGTGGAATAAGTAAAACAATAAAAAAAGGTAAATGAGAAATTTAAAAACAAAGAAGAAAAAAGAAAATATTTTTAGCGGTAAGCAAAAGAAAGATTGAGAAAAGAGAAAACTATTTAGGAAAGTCTAGAGGAAAACTAAAGAGTTTTTAAAAAATAAAGAAAAAATGGAGAAAAATGGAGTCTTAGTCAGTAACCGCTTGGTTATATATATATATATATATATATATATATATATATATATATATATATATATAGAGAGAGAGAGAGAGAGAGAGTGAGAGATAGAGTGAGAGAGAGTTGGAGATGTTGCTTTTTAATTTCCGAACACGGTCAGTATATTATGCCCGTGTTCATAGTTGACATACAGAAAAGAACACGATTAATAATAGCTAATAAAATTAGTCGAAAGCATATCATTTGTTCAGTTTTTACACATTGTATGGCCGGAAAAGAAAATATTGTGCGAATGCAATATATATATATATATATATATATATGGATGGGGATGGTGTTTTTGATTTCAGAACACGGTCAGCACGTAATATCTGTGTTCATAGTTAATGTACGGTTTCGATTAAACAAACTCGTTAATCGCTAATAGATTAGTCGGATGCGCCTGGATCCACATTAAAAAATATTGTTAAAAAAGTTAATCGCAATGCCTTGTAAACTGCCTTCAACGAAACGTGTATAAAAGAGGAATTGCTTCCAAATATATATATATATATATATATATATATATATATATATATATATATATATATATATATATATATATATTCTGTTTATAGATTTGTTTTATAGATATAATTTATTTAAGTAAATAATTCATTTTTTATTAACCAGTATTAATTACATTTACCGGCCTGAATGTTGGAGAAATTTTGTAGAAAATATGCGCTCTCTAACAGGAATCGAACTTGTAACCCTGATGGGAACCGACAAAAAAATAATTCATGCAAGCAATTTTTAATAAACTTCAACCAACAACGTCTGTTTATTTCATTTTTATTATTTGTTTTTTTGTTTTTTTCAATTTACGAATGCTTTACATTCGAATCAAAATGGTGGATAAACTATCCGAACTTCCTGTTTAGTTCTATTTTGTTCAAGTACATTTCGACCAGTCATTATTAAGAACTTAGATGCTGTCACTATGGTAGACATGATTTTGTTAGCTACTTTCTAACACTTTTTCAACTCTGTGCACCCAATTCTTGATAATGACTAAGACACATCAAGGCTTTATCCGAAATTTTTATCTCGATGTACAACAGCTTATTAAAAAATTGGAAAGATACAATAAAAATTAAACAAACTGTTCGACAGTTGAATTTAATGATACTTGTATGTATGTGTGTATTCGTGCATATATATATATATATATATATATATATATATATATATATATATATATATATATATCGTGAGAAAGAGAAACAGAGAGACTGTGCGATTGTGATTATGTAAAAGCGTGCGTTTGTGACACTTTTTTCAAACAGAAGTGCCTTCTATATCGAGATGGACAAGTTGTCTATTTTTCTTTTTTGTATTTTTCTCTGTTATTTTAAACTTTTTCTGTTATTTTAAACTTGGCAAAAAATAAACGGTAACCATTTTCTCATGGCCTATTTTTTTTAATTCACAGATAAATGGATAGTAATACTATAATTGCATTTATTTATAAAATATCAAAAACTCGTCGCCATATTGTGGTGATACAGTTATGCTAGTATAAAACAGTTCGAATAAATTAAATATGTTCAATTAAAATGGTACACAGGGAATAATTTCTTGCCAAATGCCTCCTTTAAATATAAATGAGTAGATGCAAGAAATATTTTAGCAATTAATTGTCTGTGATAACGCCTACAAATAAATAACATATTTTAGGACAGACGACATGTGTAAATAAAGCAGACGAGAAATGAACGGAAAACAAATTGATTCTAGATTAGAATGAAAATAAGATGCAAAAAAGAACAGACTGAAGAGAAAATTGCACTTATGATGATAAAGGAATGAAAAGCATAAAAGTCTAAAGAATGAAATTAAATACAAAATGAGCTCGTGAAATGAGAAAGATATTGTGTAAATGATGAACTGTGGAAAGGGAGAATAGAAAAAGAAGAAAATGAAAGAAACGAGAAAGAAAGAAACATTAGCGAAAAGAGGGGGAAGTGAGGAAGAACGAAAGAAATAAGAAAAGAGTGAAAGATACAAAGAAAAAAAAAATAGACAACGGAAAAAAAATAGCAGGAAGAAAGAAAGAAAGAAACCAATTAAGAGGGGTGGAAAGAGAGGAAGAATTAAAGAAATAAGGAAGGAGTGAAATATAGAAGGAAAATATGGGATTAAATGCAAACAAAATATCAGAAAACGAAAGAAAGAAAGAAAGAAAGAAAGAAAGAAAGAAAGAAAGAAAGCACAAACCATTTAAGAGAGGGGGAAGAGAGAATGAATGAAAGAAATAAGGAACGAGTGATAAGAAAGAAAAAAGACTTTAATCGATTATGAAGCATACAAAATATGAAGCATCAAAATAGAAAGAAAGAAAGAAAGAAAGAAAGAAAGAAAGAACATGGATCAAGAAAAAGAGAGGGAAAAGACAAGAAAGAAATAAGGAAGGAGAGAAAGTTAAAAAGAAGAAAAAATTCGACAACAGATTAAAAAGCAAGCAATATATCAAGTGACAAAAGAGCGAAAGAAAGAAAGAACGAAATGAATAAATAAAGAAAGAAAGAAAGAAAGAAAGTGGTAAAAGAAGAAGAAAGAAAGCATGAAACCAAAAATAAAGGAAGGAATAAAAGCAAAGCATATATAGCTGAGCCGTCATCTCTCTTTTTCTCACTACTCTAGCCTTGTACCAAACTTAGCTTTGTAAATAACTATTGAAGAACACGTATTTAAAGCTAATACACTAGGTAGAAATTAGGAAAAAAGCATTTGTCAAAGAAGATGAATTAGAAAAAAATATGTTTTTTGGTCGGCAAAGAATGAGAATGTCAGTACACGGAATGGCGTCGGGGGGTGTCGGAAGGCCAAAGAAGAAGAAAAAGACAAATAATAACAATAAAGAAAACTATTGAAACAAATCCAACGAATAAAATTGAGTAAAGCGGACATTGAGAAAAATAAGTAAACAAACAGATTCGTGATTATTTGATTCGAACAGAAAGAGACGACCAGCGGCCATTTCTCAGGATTGTGTGAGAATATCCTGTCTGTTGTCCGATAGTTTTCTCCGGCTAATATACACAAACACACAGACATATGTGTGTGTGTGTCTGTGTGTGTGTGTGTGTCTGTGTGTGTGTCTGTGTGTCTGTGTGTGTGTATATACATATATATATATATGTGTGTGTATATATGTGTGTGTATATATATGTGGGTGTCTATGTATGCATATATATATATATATATATATATATATATATATATATATATATATATTTGTTTTCATGTTGAACGCAATCTTCAGTCAAACATGGCCTGAAGATTGTGTTTAAGCATGAAACAAGCTGTAGCCGCTCGCTCAGTGTCTACGTTTATATTTACATGCGCTCTATCTCTGATATTGAGCACTTTTTCCTATAAATATAGCATATCTTAAAACTATACATTTATCATATATATATATATATATATATATATATATATTAATAATAATAATAATAATAATAAACATACAATATATATATATATATATATATATATATATATATATATATATATATATATATATAGCTTAAAATCCGCTCTATCGGGCGACATTTAAACCAGCACCTGCGGAGGGCTATTGATTGGGCCTTCGACCCAACAATGACACTTCATGCATTGAGTACATATTAAGTTTTACTAAACTTGAGCAATATTTTTCAGACTATTAACAGTTTTAATCAAAACAATAATATAATTTGTCTATTTGGAATTTATTGCAAAGCTGCATGATATACAACATTTTTGGTTTTCCCATTTAGGGTCAGTACAAATAGTTTGTTTCCATTGCCAACCCTTGAACCCCTAACATGGAGCTGGCCGTAAGAAAAGCAGGGTTCAATCAGATGAAGTTACTTTCAGTGTTTGTCATTGGAACTTATTGATTGACATTGCATAGAACACTCTTACTGGAAACTGAAGTCTTTTGAACTCAAAAGTAAGATCTGGACTAATCAAGGGGATTCTTGGAATTAAAATCTTTCCTCCTTTCTTGGACCAGTCAGGATCTCTGCTTCCAAGAGATGAGGAAGCATCATCTTGACAATTAACCTTGTTCCATTACAAATCTTTGGCGGATACAAATTTCTCAATAGCATAACTGGCACATTTTCTTTTAGTTCCAGCTTGTGTGATGGCATTCCAGGAGGATTTCAGGAGGATTCAATGCGTACAGGAATTCTGTTGGATAATTTACTGCCTGCTTTTGTTCAACCACAGTGTCAATGGAAAAGTACTTCATGTTTTCACTATTTATATTATTCGGACTATTGTCCTCATCTTTGTCGCAATATTTATTACAACGTTTCGGCCGTTGTACGATCCGGCCTTCTTCAGGTGGTTGGAATGTAGAACTGAACATAATACCTCATCTCAGAAATATAGACAGATACTTCATGTTTTCTTTTGGAATTTCTTTGTGAAGTTTCCAGTTGATTCTATCTACAGTTTGATTCTTGGGAGTTAATATGGCGATCTCACAAAGCCAGTTTGAATCCATGAGATGGTGTTTAATATTTGGATAAACATGATATGGTTAATCAAATCTTGGATACTTGAAACTGAAACTCCACAACCATTTGGGTATTAAATTTCTCCATTTTGGCCGATTTTGATGGTTCCGTTACCAAACTGCAACAGCAAATCAGCAAATCTTCCTAATCCAAGTTCACCTGTGATTCTAACTCTCATGTTTGTTTTCAGGCTGAGTCTTTGAACATGGCTGAAGATGTAAGAATTTTTTAGAGATTTGTGTCTCTTTAATTGAAAAAGTGTGATACACACAAACATTTTAGCATTTATTATATAAGAAGATAGATAAAGAAGGTGAGATAATTGAATGTTAGAGAGTTGCGTACCTTTAATTGAAAAGTATAATACACACAAACATTTTAGCATTTATTATATATATATATATATATATATATATATATATATATATATATATACATGTGTGTGTGTGTGTGTGTGTGTGTGTGTGTGTGTTGGTGAAGAACCAATATATATTGTCTACCACTTTGACAACATCCAGTTGTGCCATAGTAATTATGAGTTCAATCCCTGAATCAAGCAGTGGGTATTCGGACTCAATGGATATAGTATGAGCAATAACTGAGCAGTACTACGTAAAAATAATAACAGGATGAGATATCCCTAGTCAACATTCTATCCCCGTAGATTAAATAAAGTTCAGAATTCCCTGTAGGTTACTATGATCGATATACCCCTGATGAAGGCACAACGGTCGAAAGGTTGTGATAATCACAACATAGACGAGGTCAATAGTTCGAATGTAAATAGTGTAAATAAAGGTAACTCATCCCATAAATTCAGACAGAAATTTAGCCAAGATGTTATCAACCGGCAAATGGAAAAAATATAATTTGATGAAGAATAACATACGTATTAATCAAGGCAAAAAATGTGACAAGCAGATGTCAATAATGATCAGTGTAAACAAAATTCTAGAATCAGAAAGCAAGAAATAGCGAGACATTTATTGTAAAGTTTGGAGAAAATAGGAGCCAGTTCAGGAGCAACATTTCTTTATGACAATTGCAGAAATACCGCAAAGACTTGTGAGTGAGAGATTAATATATAAATTTATATACATTGATTTTTCTTTCTTTTACTTTGTTTTCTCTCATTCTTCAGGTTTTGTTTTTTCACTCTCCAAAAATAACCGTTTCTTTTTCCGAAATCTTTCAATTTTTTTTACCGTTTCTTGATTCTTCTTTCCTTTTTTTTTTTGCCTTTCAAAATTTCTAAATTACCTTTTTTCTTCTTTATTTTACTTATTCCTTTTTCTCAATTTTTTCTTACTATTTCTATCTTGCTTACCTTGTTTCATTCATTCTTTCTTTCTTTCTTTCTTCTTTCTTTCTTACTTACTTTCGTTCTTTCTTTTTCATCTTTTATTTCTTCCTTTTATCTTTTCTTTCTTTCCATGTTCCTTTCTTTCTTTCTTTCTTTCTTTCTTTCTTTCTTACTTTTCGTTCTTTCTTTTCATCTTTTATTTCTTCCTTTTATCTTTTCTTTCTTTCCATGTTCCTTTCTTTCTTTCTTTCTTTCTATTTTTGTAACCCTCTTTCATTAGTTCATTTTATCAAGTGCACGCAGACAAGAAATAAAAATTTATAAGAATTTAAACATGTCTCAATTTACTTAGAATTACTCGTCCAGGTAACATATCCTGATTGCATTAAATTACCATATATATATATATATATAGAAGTTCCAAAATCAGAAGTGTGCTAATAATGCTTATAACCGGCTCATGTTGAAACACTGGTTCTCGTTCGATGACCGAAGTTAAGCAACATCGAACCTGGTCTGTACCTAGATGGATGACCGATCGGGAATACCAGGTGCTGTAAGCTTGGGTGTGTGGGTGGTGGGATGAATAACAGTCCGGAATGAGAAATCAGAGAGTCGAATTCATTACATTCATTTACGCGCAAATGCCCTTGGAAAATGTATGAATCCATCTCTCCACCCCCTCCCCAACTATGGCCGTCCTGGGTATGACGATAAACTACATCCGCGTCCTGGGTAAGACGATAAACTACGTCCAGCAGTAAGACCTCTGATCAGGAGGTTTTGAGGAGCGTGGAACCACCTCTTAATTGTTGGTGCTCCCAGGTTCACCCTGACCCGGGATGGTAGCACCTGTTAGGGTCGCAGCTATAGGCAAATAGTTAACCCCCAAACTGGAGTAAAAACACTATGAAAGTGTAAAAATAGGTTTTAATACCAGAAATACTTTGTAAAAAAATTATTCCCAGCAATATATTTTTGAAAAAAAAAACTATTACCAGCTATATATTTTTGGAAAAAAATATTACCAGCAATACATTTTTGGAAAAAAATATATTACCAGCAATACATTTTTGAGGAAAAAATATTCCCAACAATACATTTTTGCAGGAAAAAATTTATTACCAGAAATAAATTTTTGACAAAGCAAAATATTACCGACAACAAAAATTTTGCCGGCATTGAATAGCCCATTGGGGTTGATATGCTGTAAAACAAACCAAACCAAACTATGGGTTAAATAGCAGGACTTCCAACCCATCCACTACAGAAATTAATGGCAACGTACTGCGAGAATTCTTCTTCCAAGTCAATCATGAATCGAAAAGGGGCATGATCGCCTAAGCGTGCATCACACACGATACCTAAGAAAAACCAGTAATGCTCAGACCCTGTGTACACTGTATATGAGAGCTATGAAATGGAGATACCAAAATCAAGCAAGTGCAGAAATTTCAATGTCTGGCGAGAGTTTTAACAGACGATGGAAAATGTGTTTTCCAAGAAATAACTAGGTACGAAAAAGTAGGAAAATTCCGCTAGAAACAAAGAAAAGGGTGCTTATCTGCAATGTAATATCAGTTGTCCTATACGACAGTAAATGTTAGACAATTTATTCACAGATGAAGAGGAAGCAACAGAGATGTGCTTCTACAGAAATATGCTGGGTTTCTTTTCTCGCACTTCTCGCCTGTGGAACTCTCTTCCGGCTCCTTGCTTTCCTGCCATCCACAATCTTCAAGAATATAAAGGCAACGTTCCTGAATCCTGTTCTTTTATTGTCTTTTCTCCTCACTAAGGACTTTTCTTTCACTACCAGTAACCCCTTGCGTCTTAGTGACATTAGTGTGGGGGGATGAAATGATTTTTTTAAAAAAATGAAAGAATATCACCAACTGAATATTTTAAAAAAATGGAAACAAAAAGGACACTTACAAGCAGAAAGAAAAAAAAATGACATTTTAGGGCATATAATGAAGAAAGGGGGCTTAGAGAATTTGACACTCATATAACATATTGATGGCTGGAGGGGCAGAGAGAATCTACCCGACGAGCTTGTGCAAATGATGGCAGAACAGGGACTGAAAGGGTTAGTAAGAACCTATATTTACAGTCTCACCATACAAACTAGCAGACACCATTTAAATTTGCTATTAAAGTAGGATTCGGTATTGTTAAAAAGAGATACGAAAGATAGAAAGATGTGGAGAGCTATGATCACCCACGTCCTGAAGGGACGCGGCACATAGAAGAATATCCTCTTTGAGAGTTAACACAATATGTGCTTCTACATACATAAGATAAGATGGCGAACGATATATTACTCTACGCCTCTTGCATCTCTTAACGAAATATAGTAAAAGTAATTGGTGAGCTTACTGAACACTTCAGATGTTGTCCTATCATGTTCCATATATGTTAGATGAGGGACAGGCGATCGTGCTGAGCGGGATAGTTGTCAAACATCATGTGGGGCATGTAGAGTAACATGGGTATCATGTAGGTAGGCATTATCCTGCTGGAAACGCGCATCGTCTAACTGTTGCTGTAATGTAACGGAACGACTTGTACAATGTTCTGGGCGTATATGGCGCGGCTCAACTTTCTCTCCACAAGCACCAATGGTGAACGAGAGTTGTAACATATGCCACCCTACACAATGACGCCAGATGTTGAACCTGTCTGTCATTAACAAATAAACTCTGGAAGACGTAGCTCCCTAGATGTAGATTGAACGCACAAATGATCACCACTTGTATGAAGGCAGTACGTTTTCTTTACACTGAACAGAATAAATCACCAATCGATCTCTTAGGTCATCTACTCGCAACACCGCTGATTGGTTCTTTACCGCTTCAGGGAGTACCTCACTCCATCTACAATACTTTATTTTTTACAAGAGTTAGATTAGGCCAAAATAGAGTATTGCGGCCATATCAGAGTTGGAGCTGCTCAATACGCCCTTTCCAGTTTTGATAGTGTTCAAGATCGTTTATTTTTTTAATTATGTTATCTTACAGTAAGGTCCACCTTGTGCAATGCCCGTACGTTAAGGGGTAGTTTATACGGATAGGAGGGGGGAAGATAACGGTTAACTCTAGAATTGAAAATGTTAAGATTGTAGTGATCAGGGAAACATCCTCTTGGGATTTTGTACCACAGGGCAATGGTTTGCGGGAAGAAGCTGTTTGAGTGGAACTTCTCGCCGATCAAATACAGAGGGAATGTGGATGGTTTGCTATTATGTAAGTGACATTGGCGGGTCCTAGTTGTGAAGGTTAGACCTGGCGGAAGAATGGAGAAACTCTCTTTTTAACACTCCATTTTTTTGTGGGTATACAGGTCCAAGTTTGCCATAAATAGATTGATATAAACATTTTTGTATTTATTATTCTCAATAAGTCTGAAAGAGAAATTACAACATTGAAATGTAGTTCGTTCGACCACTTCCCATGGTACTAAGAGGTTTGTGAGAGGTTCGCCACATCCCGCCTGTGAGAGAGGTTAGAAGGAGGAAAAAATTGGAGAAAAATTATTTTCCACGCTCTAACAAGGATTCAGGGATTCTTTTGAACGTATATCAAGACTGGAAAGTGATGCTTGGGCAGCTCCTGCTCAAATATAGCAGTAGTATTTCATTTTAGGCTTGATCTTGCTTTTATAAAGGTAGAGGATAGCATATGGAGTCAGGTACTTACTGGAGCGGTACAGGGAGCCGGTCATTTTACCTGCATCTTTAGCGATAGATCATACTTATTATAAAACCCAGGTTTGTGTGTGTGTGTGTGTGTGTGTGTGTGTGTGTGTGTGTGTGTGTACGTTTATATATTGGATCGGATTTCCTACATTTTTCAACCGATTTCAACAAAACTTCACAGGACTACGTAAAATTACCTTGCGGTGGTTCTGACAGTGCCAAAAATTGTAAAAACACAATTGTTTTTGCACGAAATCAATTTGAAAACACGATTAAGAGGCATCGCGAGAATGAAAGGGGGACAACTCATATCGAGTTATACTTATTATAAAACCCAGGTTGTGTGTGTGTGTGTGTGTGTGTGTGTGTGTGTGTGTGTGTGTGTGTGTGTTCATTTATATATGGGATCGGATTTCCTACATTTTTCAACTGATTTCAACAAAACTTCACTTTATTTGGCAGGTCGTGTTTCTTATTGTCTTGCACACTTTTTTCTTTATTTTTACATTCAGAATGCTTTAAAAATTCCATTTACAAGACAATTGTTTATAATAAAATTCTATTCAACTCATAACGATTGAAAACAATGTTTTTGTTTGAGTTTGGGTTTGACCTATTCATAAAAAAAAACAAAAAAAAACTAATTAAGGCATGTGTGTCCGTCAACCTTAAACAATAATCTTTGTCAATTTTATTTTTCAGTCTTTATGATGGTCGATACTTGATCTATCTCTTACTGTTACATCCCCGGGCAACGCCGGGTTCTACTGCTAGTCGTATATAAAAGTCTTACTTGAGATTGGGTGTGAGTTTGAGGTCCAGTATTCTCTGAAGATACGGAGCCTCTTAGTGGGGACGTCCGTTTATCGTGACTGGCCGTGTTAAGGGTCTGATCGGCGGAGATGAAATGTAACCAATACTGCCTAAATTATTTTCCTTTATATTCCAGAGACCTTCGCATGTTTTTTTTTTTATCACAAACCGAATAAATAGATGGTCTTAAGGAGACACGAACGGATCTTATGACTGAGTTAAAAGTTGAGTCCTTCATAGAAATATTTGACTAAAACAAATTATAAGGCAATAGTTGTAAGATGGAGTATTACCTTTCAAAAATGGATGATGTTAAATGCAGAGGATTATTGTACGCTCTTGGACAACCAACCAATAGGCGAATGAATATATTCATGAAAGACAATTTTCTTTCACATTCTGTAAAGCTGATTATTACCATCGTGCCAAAAATATTTTCAGAGACACGAAATTATTTGAACGGACCCTAGCTTCACCAAATATTAATTCAGTAGAAAACTTGCAGTCCAGCAGATGTATTAGATAATTTAAAACAGTGTTGAAACCTGATACAAATAACGTCAAAATCAAACTAATGGAAACATAAAAAAAACAATGGCTGAAAAACTGATGAAGGCTATAGAATGTAAAAGATTCCATATTAAGAAAATTGGATTTATTTATAAGCTTTTTTGTCACCCTCAGTTGGCTTGCTTAACGCCTGAAAATCCCAAAACAAATAATTATCAAGGATAGATATTATAACCTGAAATTCACACAACATATTATTCATATATTATTATCATTATTATTGTTTTTATTTCCTTTGATTTCTGGCGTGTACACATTTCCTTCCGGGTCCCGCTCAGAGACCTAAGGCTAGAAATGGCATCATGACACTTTCCACTGACAAAAAAGAAAAAAATTTACATAGATAAAGCCCTTCGTAAAGTGTGGGCTGTATTTGTGGGAACATTTTTTTGTATTTCTTTGAGGCATGGGCTTCCAGAAATCCCTTCAATTAGTCTACTGGAATATTTTCCAACCAATCCTAGGGCTCCAACTACAACAG